GCGTAGGCCGTGCCTTTGGGTTGTTGAAGAGCGATGTAAACGAGCCGGCACCCGGAGGAGCGGCCATAGCCCCGTGGCTGTGGCTCGGGGTGGGCACTGCCGCTGCTTCCCCCCTGGAACACGGGAGCCCAGGTGTGGCCAGGCTGAGCCTGGGGAGGTGGGAGAGGGCAGAGCGCATCGCAGGTGCGCTCACAGCGCCGCATTCCTCCGTCTGCCCGCGGCAGCGGTAGCGAAAGGGATGCCCGTGGTATGGTTAATATTTGTGGTGGGGAACGCCTGCCAGTGAGGTGGGAATTAACGTGAAAGTCAATAACCTCCACGGAGAGTGCTTTTAGCTTCGTTGCTTTGCTCTGTTTGCCGGAGTGGCCGCGTGACACTTGACGCCCGAGGGGCGTAGCTGCAAGCACGCGGCTCCAGCAGCGCAGCTTCCATTGCCGTCGTGCGCCTGCGGGTTTGGTTCCTGCTGCAGCTCCCGGCGTCTGCAAGGCTCTTGGAGAAAGCAGGAGGTGGAAGTTAAATCCGTCTGCTTTCTGTTCGTGCTCCTGCTTAAATGCTCACGGCAGCTTCAGGCTCATCCTGCAATATACTGACATCGCAGGAGGCAGCAGTGCTGACCTAGGGTATCGACGGCTGAAAGAGGAGAGAGGTGACCTAAAAAAATAATAATGGTGCTCTTTGTGACATATAATATTGAATTGCTTCTGTTCCTGTCTATGTATTACTGCAGCTGCATAAGCATGCTTTTACATTTGTTTTTTAAAAGTAAATCAATCTGGCCATTTTGCTTTTGGTGTTATGTTTTTAAGTGTTATGTGCTGCCTGATTGTGTTCTTTCTAAAAAAGAAGCTGCTATTAAAAAGTAAAAATAGTGTTGACTCCTTTCTGTTGGAAACTTGGAAACATAACCATGTCTTTCTCAAAGTATCTTGTTATTACCCACTTCCACTGATTTACAGGTGACAATATGTTTGTTTGTTTGTTTTTTAAAATGAGACCTTTTTCTGCCAACATCCTATTTGGCCCTTTCCATCCCCCTTTCCCTTTTTTGTAGCTGCACACAGCGTATGAATCAGAGCGGGGCAAGGGGAAACTTCAGATTCCAATTGTGGCTGCTGCTTTTGGGTTGTTGAGGATTATGGTAAATGCTATTTAAAAAACTCCAATTCTCTGAGAAATATTTTACATCCTAATTTTATAAGAGGCATATCAAAATAGCACCTCTGAAAGTGACCAGAGGAGATTGTTTCTCAGTTTTGTGTTGTTGATAGCAGTTTGTGAATAGCCATTTCTGCCTTTTGCTTGTAGCTCAACCCAAATTACTTGATGCTTGGTCACACAACCAGAGAGAAAAGAAATAAAAGCAGCATGGTTTTTAAAATGTGACCTTGAAATTATGAAGTTGGTTTGGGCCTTTGAAGAAGGGCATACCTCAAAATGCTCTTTAACTCCTTAAAAAAACCCTGAATGGCCTACAGCTCACACTACTGTATGCATATCACAAGATAGAAAGCAGTTTTAAAAAAACCTAAACCAAACAGAAGGTAATTTTTATCTTTGGAAGAGTTATTAAACATTTGTGTGAGTTTGGTATAAATACATATTTTGGGATTGGTATGTGTCAAGGAGCATTGAGGCTGGACTGGGGTTGGGTTATGTGAATGGCTGGCTCCAAACTTAAAGGTAGGTCCCTCCATTTCATAGATGAGCTTAGTGTAGAGATTATTTGCAAAGGAGTGTATCTGAAAGCCTGGGTTTGGTGGTCAGGTATTTTAAAGGATGTCAGACATAACTTACAGATAAATAGATTTGAATTCTGAGCACATAGTAATTCTGATGACTGAATGTCTTGGTTAGTTTTTTGTTATTTCCCCTGTTCTAGTCCAAGAAAAAAGGTCTGAGTTTTGAAGAGAAGAGAGCCCGCATGATGGAGATTTTTTTTGAAACAGTAAGTAACTTGAAATTGTCCTGCATTTACATTGATGGGAAAACAGGTCCTCAAAGGAGCTTAACTGTGGGTGTAGCTGAACTCTTTATCCTGGCAGGCATTTCACTGATGCCCTGTGACATCAGGGTGAAAATTACAGGGCAAAACTTCATTTGTTTAACTTCTGATCAGGTGGCCATCCCCAGGGGGAGACAAGGAATAAAGAGGCACAGGTGATGTTAAATTCTTCATCTGCTACTTATGGACATCTTCTCATTTGAGTCTGTTACCATAAGAAGGGACAGCAGGCAATTAGGAAGTGTCTCACTGCATTTTATAGGAAGAGAAAGAAATCTGAGCTTTAGAAAAACTGAGAGCAGAGTTGGGAAGGGTCCCTGGGGAGAGGAAACCTGGAGATCCAAAAGCTGACCTACAGTTGTGTTGGTGGCACATGTAATGCACCATGTTTTACTTTTTAGAAAAAATACTGTGACACTTGAGTACTGGAGCAATGTGGTGTCTCTGTGCTGACAGTCTAACCTGGGATTTAAGGGCTTTATAGTCTAATTTGAAATTAAATATGATGGCTTCAGATCAGATGGCTTCAGAGGAAAGAGAAGGCCTTGTTACAATAATAGTTTTTTTCTTATTATTTAATTCTCAGAATGTTCCAGTTCTATTGAGGGATATGCAGGCTATTTCCCAAGCAAAACCAAAGCATACAATGTATTTCATACTTGCTTTTGTTGGCATTGATTTAGTGTAAAAAACACTCAGGCTGAGATGATGCTGTCATTTGGAACTGAAATGTCTTTTATGTTTTGCACAGAAAGATGTCTTCCAGTTGAAGGATCTAGAGAAGATTGCTCCAAAAGAAAAAGGGATTAGTAAGTGTTTATAAACTTTATTTCTCTTGAGCAAGAAATCATTTTTGAGATAAGTCCTGCAGTGTAAATTTTCCTGGCTACAATCTTAGGTTTGTGATTTTAATAATGGAAAATACAGCTAGAATGGGAGACTGGTCAGTGGCAGGGCTGTGGTGTTAAAAGTGACATGGGAGGGGGGCTTGCTTAGGCTCTGAGCTGTGTGACTTGCAGTGACTTTCAGTGTATGAAATCATTGCTTGCACTCAGGTATTAAATATCTGCCTGTAATATCACAAATGTTTAAAATCCTAGTCCAAATGTACATGGGTAGTGTGCTCTTGAGCTTTTCTCCTCCAGAAATGGCTGGACAGCTATAGATAGAAGGGGCTTGTCTTTTCTATAAAAGCCTTCCTGATGAGATCCATTAGTTTAGGATTAGGTCCAAGAGGATTTGTCTCTGCTCTTGGATTGTTTTGTATGTTCCTTATTCGTTTTCCTTCTGTGCTCATTGACAGAAGGGAGGCAAAGCTTAATGTTTGTGTAGTTACCACTGTCCTTCTCCAGCTTATCTTGGTGGCACTGCAAGAGTAAATGAACTTGCTGAGAGAACTGCAGATGTGAATATCACAAAGCAGAGCTTTTCAGTTGTGTCAGCAGCTAACAGAGGCATTCATGGGCTTCTGAAGAGATGTGGTGCTCTCTTGGTTGGTATGTCAGTGCATGTGTTTGGTTGTAATTTGCAGTAAAATTGAGTTTAGAGTTTCTAAAGCCATTAACACCTTTGAATAGTCCAAATTCATCCTGTCTCTGCATATGAAGGCATTTAGCCACACAACCCATGCCCCAGTTTCTCTGAAAAGAAAAATTACTAACCTGCTCCCATCCTGGCATCCAGCCTATAGCTTCCAAAAGATATGGGACCCCCTGTAATCTTGAAATTGGACATCAGGTACCAAAACCTGTGATTGAGCTCAAGAGTCTTTATATCTTGAACACCTGAGGGTAACATAACTACTTAGCTTTGTTGAACAGGTACCAATTCAAAATGGTGAGTTATACCACAGGTTTGAAAGGAAATGGTCAGTTGTGTTCAGAAATGTTGATGCTTGTGAGTGTAAATGATGTTTTGTATTGGAAGTGAATATCATTAAAATTAGAATCTGTCCTTCCTGAGTCTGTAGACAGATGGTTTAGTGCCTCTGCTGCTGTGAGCTGTATGCTGCTGCATACATTCCATTACAAAGTGAAATGTAATTACACTCTCAGTCAAGAAACTTTAGTTAATCCAAGTTAGAATGAAGACTGCAGGACAACTTCTCAGGTGCCTCTCATGGATTTGTTATGGTATTGTAGTGTAACATGCATGTGTTTTGTGCAATACTTCTGAGCAGTGTTTTGCAAACATCTGGTAGCAGATGTGCAGAATAGCAGCATTTAGGAGCAAACTGCTGGTTTCAGAGAGATTCATCCCTTCCAGTGAAGCTTTGAGCATGTTGTCCTTGAGAAATCTTCCAGCTAGCTGACACTGGAGGACAATACAGATGATTGTAGATGGTACTTTGTGGTATTCATAATTCTCCATAGTCCAGCTGCTATGCAGTTCTGATTTTACATTTTTGCTTTTATTAGCCTCGATGTCAGTGAAAGAGATTCTGCAGAGCCTTGTTGATGATGGCATGGTGGACACTGATAGAATTGGAACTTCCAATTATTTCTGGGCTTTCCCAAGTAAAGCTCTTCATGCCAGGAAGCGTAAATTGGAGGAGTTAGAGTCTCAGGTAAATCTGTTCTATGAAAAATACTTGTTTATCTGAATGGGTTTGCTTTTTCTTGTACCCCCTTGTCATTTTTGTTTATATCTCTCACGTATACAAATGTACATGTCACACACACAGATTTTACTATAGGAATTTTCTGTCACTCATAGTGTGGCATTGTCATTATCTTACTGTTACCTCAGGAAAACTGGAGGTTCTTATTGGAGCTTGAGAAAACTACTTGTCTACTTGCTGCTGAAAGCATGCTAGTCATGAAGCAAAGCATCATTTAAGGACTCAAAGGTAGCATGCTTTTGTGTCTTTTCTATAAGGTAGGCTATCATGAGGTAATCAAAGTGATGCCAGCTGGAATGCATAACCTGAGTAGATGAGGCAATGGTTTCTACTTAGGCCATTGTGTTTTCATCTGCTTTTATTGGTGGCCTAATTTGTGAGCACTTCTGTAATCCCATACTGCACTTTTAGCAGGAGAAAAGAGCAAATTGGTCATGAATCACAGAATCAAGGAATGGTTGGGGTTAGAAGGGACCTCTGGAGATCTAGTCCAATTCCCTGCTAAAGCAGGTTCACCTGGAGCAGGTTGCACATGATAATGTGCAGGTGGATCTGGAGTATCTCCAGAAAAGGGTCAATGACCTCCCTGGGCAGTCTGTTCCAGTGCTCTGTCACCCTCAAAGGAAAGAAGATTTTTCTCTTACTTATATAAATCTTTGTGTTTGTGCCAGTTGCCCCTTGTCTTTTTGCTGGCCCTCACTGTAAAGAGTGTGGCTCCATCCTCTGGACACCTGCCCTTAAGGTATTTGTATTGATAAGGTCCCCTGTCTTCTGTGAAGTCATCTCTTCAGGCTGCACTGGTGCAGCTCCCTCAGCCTTTCCTCACAAGAGAGATATTCCAGTCCCTCCTTGTCTCCATAGCCCTCTGCCTGACCCTCTCCAGGAGCTGCTTGTCTTTCTTGAGCTGAGCACCCCAGAGCAGGGCAGAGCACTCTGAGGAGGCCTCGCCAAGGCAGAGGACAGGGGAAGGAGATGCTCCTCTTCAGAGGAGCAGGGCATCTTTCATTGCAACATCGCTGTTCTGTGCATCTGGTTCTCTCCTACTTTTTGGGAACTGTCTTTCTTTCTGCTTCTAATGGGAGTGGGAAAGCATCTATTCATCAGTTTATTTGCAATGGGAGTATATGGTAACAAGATGAACAAATGAGCTTTTTGAGACCATGTGGTGTGATTGTACTGCAGCACTGCCAACTCTTCCTGTGATTATTCAGCATTATGTTCTTTCTTCAAAGAATAATTTGATTTAATGCAGATTTACTGGTAGCATCTGAACATTTTTACAGCCATTATTTTCTTCAGGCATAGCTCTGAATGAATCTCAGGCATTGCTGCCTTATGTACAGTGTTGTCAACTTCAGCTGTTTCTTTGTATTTATACAGTTATATCAAAATAATCAAAAGAAAAATGCTTTTTTTCCCCATCTTGAATTGAAAAGGGAGTTTGACTTAGCTGAATATGGTTTTACTGTTTTCAGGCATGGACTTAACCTGGCACAACTGGACTTAAATTAATTTTTATAGACTGGTAGTAACAATGCACTGGCTCTTATTCCAGTGGAGTTTCATTTGTCTGGCACAGATTAGTTTAACTCTGCACTGAGTTGGAACTGAACTTCCCAGTAAAATTACTCAACTTATTAGTACATTCACAGTAGTTTTAGACAAGGCTGCTTACTCTGCCAGCACATAAATTGCCAACTGAAAAACTGAACAAATGCATTCCAAAACTCTTGCTTTGTTCACCAAACTCCCTGGTGCCACTGTTTTGTCGAATGCAAATTATTTGCTCTTGGATCCTTTTTGTTGTTGCTCATGCTCCATATTACAGCCAAGTAGCTGAAAGGAGGAGTTGTATTTGTTGTCCTTGCCCTTGGGCCTAGTCCCATTGTGAATTTTGAACATAATTGGTCAGGCAGGTCTCTGGCATACCCTGATGAATATCTATCTTCCTTGGAATGTCTTGCAGAATCTGCCTAATGTGCTCCATGGTAAATACCCAGGAATTGCCTACAAAAATATGCTGAACTGCTTTAAATGTACTTTCACTTAAACAAACATATCTATTATTATGAAAGTGTAATAGGCATGTAGTTATTGACTTGTGATGCTATTTCTATGTTCTGATATGAACAATTCTGCAATATAAAACTGTTCCAGAAGTAGTTTTATTACCAGAACCTTACTTGCAAACCAAGCCCTGCCCCTGACATTTGGGCTTGTTGGTATGAGAGCTCTCTTTAGATGATGGTATGAGTTCTTCAAAAGTACTTCTCTTCATTACCTTGCTTTTCTGATGAGACTGGAAATGTTTCAGCATTTCAGAGAAAAGCATTTTCACTAGCTGAAAGTGACTTCTCTGTTGACACAGTGGAAAGGTGGCATTTTCAATGAAAAGCTCTCTGAACATTTTTACAAGATGATAACAGGTTCTGTCTGTGAGTTCAAATTAGCTCTTTTGGTGTTTGTACTCTTCTTGATGTGCACGCATACAGATTTTCTTAAGGACTTCTAAATCTAGTCACTGACTATTACAAAGCTTCTTGTCAGAACATACAAAGCAGAGGAAAAGAGTCAGCTATTGTACCATTTCTGTTGCATGTTGCTTGTCTTTGATCATTGCCATACAGAGCTCGTGGCATGCTGAGAGATGTGTTTGCTCTCTGTCTTGTCCACATTGATTGTTAGCTGCATGAGTCGGTCTCTTTGTGGAGCAGTTAAAAGCCAGAATCAGGCTGCCTTACTTAAAGCATCTTTCAAAATCCAGCAGTTCAGTTCATGCTGCAATTAAGGCTTTTTCCCAGGAGGCATTATCTTTGTTTCCTGAGGGCATGGGTAAATAGTCAAGGGAAAGGAGGGATCCCAAGTGCTAAATTGTCATTTGGAAATAATGTGGAAGAAGAGAACAGGCTGCTTCATGATGTAAATTCCCCTACTAATTCACAGCACTGAGGCTTATGTTTGACAAGTTTGGCCTGCTGCAGGACCTTTTGCCTGCATGTGTTGGTACTTCAGAATGTTACAGCCAGGTTGCTCATAGCATTCTGCATTTTACAGAACTTGAGATTGTGGTAGGCTGCTTAAGGAGCTGTTCTTGAAACTTTTTTTTTGTTTCAGATTTTTTAGTGATTATTAAGCCACATCCCATCTTGGAGATGCAGAAGCAAAGAAGTCTGGCTTGGTATTCATAATGAAGATCAAGCCAGTTTTGTCTGGATGTTTTAAGCTGCACTTCACAGGGGTGCTGTATACACCAGACTTTTTCCAGGGAGGATTCATTGCATGATCAGTGTGCAGAGATACCACAGTTAAAAACAATGCTAAAGTTTCTTTTGACAGCTTCCCTGCCTGACCCCATCTTTTGGCTTGCTTTTGTGGAGGCAGGTTTTTGGAGAGGGGCACTAATCCCTGACTTACATATGAGGCAGATCTTGTGCTGATCTAATTAGTATCTTGGTGGTGCCCTCTAACCCCAAGTTACTGCTTGGGCCTCTTCCTGTTTTTCTGAAAAGCAAGGATAGCAAATATCTTTAGTTTGTGTAGCATCTGTTAGAACTATTTCCTCCAATAGCTCCCACAGTGAGAATTGCTAAGTAGGTCCCTTTGGATTTTGTATTGATTTGTTTTGCAGTGATGTGGTTGCTCCTAAAGGTTTGTGCCTTCTGTCAGGTGCTTATTCTTCACCTCTTGGTTATGCTTATGCATCTGTGAAGAAGACCACTAAAAAAGTGAAATATGTTGGAAGCTGCATTTTGGGGAGATGAGTTTATACACACATTTGGTTTGTTTGCATGTGGAAGTTGCATTTGCTTAGGTTGGGTACAGGTGTGAGGTGGTGAAAGAAGAGCAAAGGTGTGGACTGAGAAATAATGTTTTAACAATTTTAATAAGTGGAGAAAATTTTAAGCCTTGCTTGTAAAGGGAACTTTTGAAGCTTTACTGGGGGATTAGTCTTCCTTCCCTAAAAAAAGGTGAAATGATGTGGTCTTCTTATAATATTTTTCTGTCTGTTGGATTTAGAAGCCTGGAGTTACCTATGATCAGTTATAGTTTGACAAAACAAGATGTTTATTCTTGGTATAACAGTTGTGACTGAGGAAAAGAGAAATCTTTCTGATGTAGCCTTAGTATAAACAGATTAAGCTTAGATTTTCTTTCATTTTTTCATCTGTGTCTTGGGTAAAACACTTGAGTCTGACCTGAAATACCAAGCACTTCAAAGATGCTGTGTTTGTTAGTGTAACTATTGACAGTACTGTTAGCACTGTGTAGCGTGGGAAAACAATTAGTTGGTTTCTTTCCTCAGTGTGGTGGTGCTCATTTCACTGTTCCATTTAAAACTGTTCATTTTACTGTGTTGTTATTTGTCTGATTTCTTATGGTGTTGCTCTCTTGTGGGTTAATCTTTTGTGTTCCGAGGCTTTTGCAAGGGAAAGTTTAACAGCCAAAACTGTTGGAGCTGCTCTTCCAGCTCAGAGCAAAATGGTGTCACCTTGAGCTGCAAAGGAGATGGAACAGAATGTTTTTAGAGCAGGATACAGGATGGACATTTTGTGCTGTTCCCTGTGCTTGCTTCAACGTACTCATGACCAAGAGACTTGAGAGTTGCTGGCAGTGTTTTTCTCCCACTAAGCCTTGCATTGGGCCACTGTTAGTTAAGGTAGAAAAGATTAGTTGATGTTTCATTCCTTAAGTCCCTGCCCTAGGGCTGGTAAAAGGAGGGATTTTCACTTCCCATGACTCATATGTTGAACCAAGGAGAGAATTTGCACTGGGTACATCCTGACTCACGTTTCCCAGCTAGTTTGGAAAAAAAAAAAAAAACCCAAGAAAAAACCCAACAAACCCCACCTCCCAGCCAGGAATGAACTTATTGAAATCAAGTGACTTCATATGTATTAAGTTGTTTGTACTAATAAGCATTGAAATATGAAAAGTGAAAGAATTTA